TGTGTGTGTGTGTGTGTGTGTGTGTGTGTGTGTGTGTGCGTGCAAGGTCAGAACTGCGTGTTCAACTTCTTACTATCGCTGTGGAAAGATTCAGATACAAATATTAGAACACGTTTCATAAAGAACAATCAGTTCTGAGCAATGAAAAGAACAATCAGTTCTAAACAAAGAAAAGGTCATCATGCAGTATTCTATCATCAATAAACTTATATCACTAAAAGCTTATACTGACTACTCAGTACAGTTTTCCATTGACACTCTCCTAGCACCTTGAGGAGCTGTTGTTGTGATTTGTATAAATAAAAATGAATTGAACTGGTCAGTTCAAACACTGACAGAGTAGGTGTGATGCAGCTAAGTGGGAAACATGCTGCTAAATAAAATAAATGAGCTTGTAAAAATATGAAGTAATAATAGTAATATTTACAGCAGTACTATCAGTAAAAAAAACAAACGCAAATCAATACATGTGTAAGTGCTGAACATAATATTTACAGCAGTGTGTGGTTTGCTGCATCCTGCTGTTCAGGGTTCAGTTTGTCTTCTATAAAAAAGCAAACAGACTCTTTGGACCAGCTGTGCTCAGTCTGCAGTCTTCATGAGACGCCTCTCTCCGAGTTTACCTCAGAGCTTCTTCCCTCCAGATCTCACAAACACAGCAGGCCCTCCTGATCCAGGATGCAGCTTTTGTTCAGAGTTTTTCTGCTGGCTCTGATTCTGCAGAGCTGCAGTGCTGAAGCTGCCGCAAAGGAATGTGACCTCCCACCGAAGTTGCGACAGGAGGTACTGCACAAGGTGGGAACTCACAGAAACATCTGCCAAGTCACTACTTGTTGACTGATACCTCTTTACAGTGAAAGGAGGCTACAAAAATATATTTGGTAATTTTTCGGTCTCTTTGTTAACAGAAAAGGTCGTTATTTGTTCTATAAACAAAAATCTGCTCAATTAAGGCTCATTTAAAAATTGAGTTTTAAGTACTGTGAACATTCAATGCATTCTGGAAAAAAGCATAAGGTCAAGGCAATTACATTGTAAGAAGGTTAAATGTTTTTCCTTTCCTTAAAATGTCTTCAAGGTATTCATTACATTAAAAAGTATTTGCAGTATTATTTGTATCTCCTATGCAGTTTAAGGGCAGATGCTACCACACGGTTCTACTTTACCTACATTTCAAGTAATATTAGGAAACTGTAATAAATCCAGAAAACAAATGCTTGTGGGTTTACCCTAGTTCCTCCTCACAGGTGTTTAAGTCACGATGGGTTCTGGTGGAAGCGTTCTCAGATTATCCAGCAGGTCTGAGGTTGGTGAAGCATGCCAATAGTTCCCTGATGGAGATGAAGGAGGCATTCAACAATGAAACCTTTCTGTTCATCGAGAGAAACATAGTGTAAGTTTGTCAAACTGAGGACAAACAGCAGTTCAGTACCTGCTTACTTTCTGCAAAAGTTTTTTTTAATTTATTTATTTTGTTTACAGCTCTGGAAAATGTCTTGTGTTTCAAGTTAACATGTCCATTCCTGATCCCGAGACTTCCAACCACAGCATGGTTCTGGACAGCCCTGGTAAGTCCAAAACAGGCCCAGACTAGACCTTTTTATTAAGACATTTGGATGTGAAAGCAGCCAGAGAAATGTCATTAAAAGATTTTTCAAAGTATAAAAACAACTTTCATAATGTTGTTTGATTTTGGTTGGAAGTGAGAGGTTTGTTCTGATGATTCACAGCAATAAAAAGAAAAAACAAACACTAACACTGCTACCATGATGTCTGACCTACTGAGATAACACCACAGAGCACAGCAATGTTCTCAGTATGGCCACAAGGTAGCTAACATACCAGTGGCCAAGAGAGTTAGACCAGAACCTTGTGAAAAGGATTTTTTTTTTTAAACTTCCACTTTTTATTTATCAAGTGTTAGGCAGTTAAAGTTGTCAGTTAGGTTTTTAGAGATCAGAATGTTGACATATTGGTAAAACCTCAACCACAGGAAAATTTTCTTTTAAAATTCCCTTTTGTATATTACAAAATTTGTACTTAAAAAAGGCAGAAATTGGAGTTTCTGATCTCCAAACTAAACTACAGACCTTTTTTTTTTAGGGGGACGCCTGTCTGTCTGTCTGTAGCATCAGTCATGGGGAACTACTTAAAGAGGAAAACAAAATCTTCCAACGAGGTCTCAACTGTTAGTCATTATTGTGGTGAGATGTTAATGATTTTTTTAAATGTGTTCCCATTAGGAGTTATGGAGTTTGGCGGGTTGGTGTCTCCATACAATGATCAGGGCCGAGCAGATGTTTACCAGGGCTGTGCAGACTGTCTGACTGTTGTCTACAGCGGCGTCTTTCAGGGAATTCCAGGAAGGCTGTTGCTCATCTACAGTAAGAATGAAACACCCTAACTTTACAGAGTCATCAGTGAGAAACTGAACAGAAAACTCATGCAAACAGGAGGCAGAAGTGTCCACTGTGCACTCAGCATCACATCATACCAAGTGAAACACAGACAGTGCCCTGAAAGAAATTCTCACTGAAAAAAGGAACATCTGAAAGAATTTGACTTTTTTTAAATGAGCAAATCCTAATAATAATGAAAGTTTCAGAAACTTTAGAGCTGAGAGCTCAACAGGATCATATCGACCAAGGGGACAATCTTCTGAAATGGAAAACACAAAGCAGAACTCAACACACTGAATTTAGCAGGTTCCCCACAGAGCGTTCTCATGAAGCTACAGTATTGTGAAAAGCCTTGAATGTTTCTGAAAAAGCCATGAAAAGGAACTAGACCACAAAACTAACTCCAAATGCAAGAGCACCGTGAATAACAAACCTTCCCCCTTTGCTCTTGTTGCTATCTTTCTGTCACAAGTCACTCCTGACCAGTGTTGGGTAAGTTACTTTAAAATAGTAACTTAGTTACATTACTAGTTACTTCTCTCAAAAGTAACTCAGTTACTTCAAGTTACTCGTTACTTTCAAAGTAACTAGTTACTAGGGAAAGTAACTTTGGTTTTACTCAGAATTCTCTTGTTAATGTGTTTCTTCCATAACTTTGCCAGTCTTCTAGCTTGCTTACTTGCCACAAGTGCACTGTGCCACCTGGCCCATTGTTGACCGCCGCCATGATTCTAGCCTACGTCACAGCGTCATGTGCGCCTTTTACATCCAACACAAAAACTGCAGTCGTGGTGCTTTTGATTGTACTCAGAACTCGGAAATTCTGCCTTCTGAATAGGAAGAAGTAGGTAACACCAGACTGCAGATGAGCTGCATACAGGGCTGGACTGGGACAAAAAAATCGTCCCGGGCATTTTGATTAGAGACTGGCCGCCATTATAGCAAAAATCATAAAGCCTTTGAATGAAAACAAACACTGCTGTGACAGTGATGTTCACTGTTTTGATGGTATATATGTATCAATCTATCAATCGTTTGTTGTAAGATTCAGATAATTATTTTTTAAAAGCGAGACATTTTAAATGAGAATAAGAAAGAAAAGTATTTCTTTGTGCCCCCCTTTCCCTGTTAGTGCCCTACATGTAGGGATGGGTATTGATAAGATTTTA